GTGTAGGCACAGAATTCAAACCCCAGTACTGCCAAAAAAAAGGACCAATATCCATAAATTATACCTAACCTTAAATTTAATGACCACATATTAACAATTATGCAAAATGAGGGGAAAAGCTGATTTTTAAAGCAAGTCACTGTTTAAGCTATGCTTAAATAGATTTGGTTTAAATCAAATCATGTTACTGAGGATGCATCAGAGCTAGTCCAGCATGGCAGAGTCACCACTGACAACCGTGCCCCCATGATAAAAGGCATTGTCCAAAGATGACAGCCTGAGTTTCCTGTGTCTAGTAAGTTCCAGGACACTGACGACAGTACGTGTCTGTGCAAAAGCCTAGCACGCTGTAGTTGTGTACATCTTTAAAAGGAATAATCACATCTTCAATTCCCAGAGAGCTATTGCTAAGCCTCATTCTCGAGGTGACATTCACAGGATAGCTAGACAAAGCAGGGTTTCACTGTAGGCCGTTCTGCCTTGAATCATTTTCTGGATAATTTCTTCCAACTGAAACGTGTTGTCATAAAACTTCAGTGAAAAGCAACATAAATACACATGTGGACAGACAAGACAGTAATTCTCTTTTGCTTTATCGTTAAGTGATTGGTTAATTTCTAACTGAGGTATTTTACTTTTTTCAGGTAATAAGATCATTCTCCTCACCTTCCACACATTTTTTCACTTTATTCCTTTATTAAAATAAAACTTACATACCATAAAATGCACAGACCTTAAATAGTCACTTAAATAAGTCTGAACATATGTAAACAACTGGTAAATCTGGATAAAGGAATATGAAGTTCATTGTACTACTCTTGCACTTTTCTGCAAGTTAAAAATGACAGGAAAATAACATTACCCAAAAAGGATACACTTAAAATTTCATCACCCACGTAAAGTTACATAATATTTCTGTTATCACAGAAAGCTACCTTGTAGCCCTTTTCAGTCACAGTCCCAGTCCCTACCCCAAGGCAGCCACTGTCCTAATTTCTTCCTTTTGTCTGTTCTTGTATTTCTCACAAATGGCATCACATAGAACACACTCATCTGTATCTGCCTTCTCTTGCTTTGAATAGTATTCCTGAGATTCCTCTATTTGTGAATCAGTAGTTTACTTCTATTGTTAAAAGCTGCTCTGAACATTTTGTACCAGTCTTTTCATGGACATATACTTTGTTCCTTTCTGTGTAGCGAAATTTCATTGAAAAGAAAAAAAGGTGGGGGAGGGGTTCCACATATAAATAAGCCTGGGAAATAAGGCAGCGAGGATAAACAGAGCTATATACATAAACATACAAATAGCAACCATGTGTATATATACATAATAGTTATATGTAAGGCAGAAATTTGACATTTGGCATATATATATGCATGTACATATTACAAATATGTGAATCAACAAACATATTGTAAAAGAAATTAAGTTCATAGTGAAAATAAATCTAAGATGGAAAGATGACCATCTCAGTTTTTCTTAAAGAATAATTTAAAAGAAAAACAAATTTCTCTCCATGTAAATTACTGTTATGCTTCAAAGAAACACTTTCTTCTTTAACAAATACCTCCTCCCAAACTAGAATTTCAAAATGTTGGATGTTACCATCTACTACACAATAAGTTTATCCTTGAGACAAAATCCAAAATATATGCTAAGATTATTGTCTTGCTTTTCAAAAAGTTCAACATAGAAATAATTTCACTGGTTAATATTTAACATGGATAAGGAACATTCCATGCTTATTCAGAATGTATTCTGATAAAAACTTAATCTCTAAGATGCTTTCTCCATTCCAAAAAGTAACTTCCTGCAACAGTAAATATGTGATAAAGATATTTTGACTCTGGAATTCCACTATATAACTTTCTGACAATGGAGGAGGTTAACTCCAGAGACGGGAACATTAAGAAACACAAACCTGATTTTTTAAGAAATCAGTCTCAAATTTCCAACCCTGCTTTTCATAAGCAGATCATTTTCAGGGGACTCCTCATGTAATATTATCTATTAATTGCCAAGACTGAAGCAGAATGCTACAAATGGTTCTAGAAATTTACCACTGCCCTTCTTAGGCAAGGGTTTACACCTACAAAAGAGAAAAAACAACCCTTTTTGTCTTTCTTCATCTTTTATTCTTCTTTCTAAAAACTGAGCAATTTCAAATATATACAATTCAAATATACTACATTTTTAATCTTAAAAAGCATTCTGACCATTTGGATGTTTCCTAACTTTTACAGACATGTGGGTTTACTTTAAAAAACACTCTTTTACTCTGAAAATACATTTTATGTTGGGAATTTTATCTTTTTCTAAAAAAAACAAAAACAGCCTTGATTTTTAATCCAAAAAATGACAACTCCAAACAGCTACAAGCCCCAACTTTTAATATGGTCTGCCTGATTGTTTTAGAGGACTAAAATAAAGTTTTGTTCTTATTTTTTAAGTGTTTTGCTTTTAGATCAAGAGTAAAAAACAAGTATACCAAAAGTGTAGATCCCAAACTCTCTCTGATGGTCCTTCACTCTCATTAATCAAATGTTTCACTCTCATTAATCAAATGTTTATTACTAATCAAAAGATTAGTAGTAAATATTAAATTAAGCATAAAATGCAAGTAATTCTCATAACAAAGCATGTGGTAGAAATTATTTTGAGTACTGGAATTTTAGAGTTCTAAATATTGCTTGTAAACTGTCAGCTACAACCTGTCTCACTTGCAGAACTGTCTTTTTTACTGTAAATAAATGCCTTATTTGCAAATTAAATCACACAGAAGTATTTGTTATTTTAAATCAATAATTATGCAATTTACATACTATTGCCCACCCAGTCTGACATGTATGTTTAATTTTACATTTTGGGGGAGATATAATGTTAAATGTTAAAAAAGCACTAAAAGGCTGATGGTATAGCTCAGCAGTAGACCCTAGCATGTACAGGCCCTAGGTTCCATTCCCCAAGCATAGCAAAAAGAAATGTACAGCTGGAAAAAGAAATGTACAGCTAGGCCACTGAGCTCAGTGTAGCCCAGCTCAGTGTAGCTCAGTGGCCTAGCATATATGAGACCCTGAATTTGATCCCCAGCACCACATAAAATAAAAATGATAAAAATTTTTAAAAAGAAAATCATAAAATATGAAAAAACAAAACCTAGTTATTGATGAGCTAAGTTAGAAAGCTCAAAGTTTCAGAACTGTAAAATGGAGATATTTAGCATATATTAATTACTGAACTTAGTGTGCCAAAATATGGACAATATAGATTCTTTTTCAGGAATTGTGAAAAAGGCTTATAGAAAAGCTATTCTTAATGCCATGTACAACATGCATACTTACTAAGTAAAGCAGTATTGATGTCTCTAACAGTGTCATTTGATCTACCCTTGAATTTAGCTGTTTTAATATAAATCGCTGTTTTTGTAGCTTTCTTCATTTAAAATATTCCCTAAGGGGTGGAGGTATAGCTCAGTTGTGGAGCACTTGCCTAGCATGCACAAGACTCTGGGTTCAATACCCAGCATAGTAGGAGAAAAAAATTCCCAATTTTTGTTGTATAGGTGTGAGAATCAATTTAGGCTTAATTCTGAAAGTGAAACGTGGATGACCATTTTATGATAGGGTGCCCCCAAGTTAAAGTGGACATAAGCCAGCGATTAAAATATCTAAAAACTGAATTTTAAAAGTCTCTTAATGAAAAGGCTCTTTTCTAATTAAAGTACTCCAAATATGCTTTTGTGTAAATAAATATGATATTTGGCATATCTGAGCATCGTAAGATTATAAACCTAATTACATGTATTATTTTAAACTAATGCACTCTAGCACACCAAAGAGTGTTTAAATCACCTAAGACAATGGACGCTGCAGTCTTATAAAGTCTCTGGTAACTATTTATATAGACTAAACCCACTTTATGTGAGGAACAGCCATTGTTCAGCCAACCCGCCCTTGCTAGCTATCAGAAAGCCAGGTCAGCGTTTGACAGCAAGAGCCCCTTCACCGATACACCAAAAAGGATGTTCTTTTTCTTTGAACTCATTCTTTCTAAGCTGAGAAGCCTTTAGGAAACTAGTCCAAACTATGCATCGTTTTCCAATCCAAGAAGAAAAAAACTGAAGATTTACTTACTTGCTTAATCTACTGTTCTAGGTTTTTCATGTTAAACTAATTAAAATTGTTTTTAAAAATTACTTCACACAAAATTCCCATAACTAAAAAAAAATTTAAAGATTCAGAAACATTTGTTAAGTGTTGGAATGACAAAGACCTTATAACACCCCAGCTTGTTTTAGAGATACAAAGCACTTTATAAAGACTATTTGAAATTACTTTTTAATCTCAGTCACAACTCATAGTTAATTGTAATGTAACTAGCTAGGGAAATCAAATGACCTTTAATTAAAAATTAATTAACAAAATTAAATAACAATTATTAACTGTTCTTAAAGAGTTAAACTAATATCTGCACACGTGAGAAGTTTAGAAAAAAAGAAAACTAAGTCCAGTGTTTCTCGAAATGATGAGTGTTACTAACAACCCACTTAAAAATATTTTTAACAAATATATAAGTTTCTGTAGAATCCCTAAACTGGTCAGGCCCATGACTGTAGATTACTGGGCGGAGGTCAGCTGGGGAAAGAGGCAAACAAAAAAACTGTTAAGTGAAAGTATGACAGAATAAGAATTTCCCACCAGAATAAGATTATTTCCGAGCCAGTCCTTGAATTCTGACTCAGACACCAAGAGCAGCGGCTACTACACGTCTCCTAACGCAAGGAGGGGACAGAACTCCTCCGGCTCGCTAGCGCGTGCCTTCACTTTCCCCCGGCGCACAATGTAACAGGACGCAAGGACGCTGCAGCCGACGGAGCCCCGCGCCCGCCCCGCGGAGCGCCAGGTCCAAAGCCCCGAGCTCGAGCGCTGCCCGCGGCGGCCACGCGCGCCACACGCCGTCCCGGGCCACCAAGGGCCCCAGGCCCCGCGTCTGCACTTACATCTAGCACCGCACAACCCACTTCTAGGACGAGGCTGGGACGCTCCTCGGGGCTCCTCAGTACAAAAAGCCATCTACACCGGCTACCTCCCCCCCCCGTTTTTTCCTTTTTGCAGTACTGTTTTCTGAGTCGTGCACAATGGCCAGCACACCTTTTCAGACGATCGATGGGGCGGAAGGAGTTTTGTAAGGTTCCAGGGCTGCAGTCAGCAAGGGCCCTAAAGTGACTTCTCTGGCTGTGGCACGACCCAGGCCACCTGTTGGGCCCGCGCCGCACCGACGCCCTCCGCACGCGGCAATGCGGTTCCCCGTCCGCCACCGGTCCCAGACCTGCAGGTGAGGACGGTGAACGCCCATCCACACCCACCAGCCGTTATCCTCGCCGGCCCGGCCGCCAGGTGAGCGGGCGACATCGCCCGCCGCGTCCCGCGCTCGGCTCCTGCGACTCGCGTCCTCGACCTCGGCCGCCCGGGTCCGGAAGGCGAAGTTTCGCACCCGCCCGCGGCGTGGCTGTCCAGCCGCCGCCCGGCTCTCCGAGGGTCCCGCCGTCCGCTCAGGCGGCCGCGGTCACTCCCGCTGGGCCTCGGGCGAATGGCGGGGGTGGGGGCGCCGACCAGAGCCGCAGCGGGACCTGTCACCCGGGCGGGAAACAAAAGCCGAGTGAGGACGAGCGGGCGCGACCGCCGCGCTGCGCCGCGCCTTCGCCTCGCCCGCCCAGGGGGCGCGAGCGGCTCCCGCGGCCGCCCGCTGCGCGCCTCCCTGAGGGTGGCCGGGCCTCCCGCTCCTCACCTCGGGGCTTCCCGGGCCGCGCTCGCCCCGGCGCGCGGCTCCCGAGCTGGCCAGCCGCGTGAGGGGCGGGGAAGCGACCAGCCGCGGCGGGACCGGGAAAGGAGGGAATCCGGCTCCAGGGGTGCCGCGCCCGCCCGCCCGCCCCATCCCTGCAGCCATGGCGCCGGTACCTGTCGCTGCCGTGGCTCGCCGGCTCCGTCTCTCCACCTTGCCCGCGCTCCGCTCACTCCGCAGCCCGCCCAGCAGGCTGCCCGCGCGCCGGACACCGCCGCCCAAGACTGGCAGCGCCCGCGAGCCGGCCCGAATCCCCCGGGCAGCGCCCGGCGCCGTCCCACCCCCGCCGGCCGCAGGACCCACCTTCTATAGGCCCCCGGGGCTGTCAGTCCGCCCCCAAAAGGCGCGCGGGCTGTTTCTCTGCCTGTCTGGATTGGTGGCCGCGCGCAGTCCATGCAAATGAGGCCCCGCCCCATTCATTTGCATCTCCTCTTCCCCCCACCAGCCCACGTGTCTGGCCCTTGCCCTTTGTGGGGGCCGGAGAGAAGGGATGGAGGAAGCTGACTGACACCCCTTCACATCATCCCTTACCTCCAGAGAAACTAATGCCTACACAAGCTCGTTCACTTCAAGTTTGTTTCCTCTCTCTGAGGGCTCTGCCCCTGCTATCTGATCCCCTGCCCTGAGACTGGAAGGGACAGGCCACACTGGCCCCAGGAAACAACCCATGAGGTCCAAGATGCTCAGTCAGGACAGGGGAAATCCCACCTTTGGAACCAATTTACCTCATAGTACCGTTCTTTGGGCACCAGCGTGTGAAAACCGTGCTTTCCCATGGCTCTCTACCTTTAAAACATGGTATCCCAGGTGATTAAAACAGAACAGGGACCTTAAAAAATGGCCACAGTCTCTCCTAACCCAACTCCTAAGGTAGGCTATTGAGCAAACTCAGCTTCAAGACAGGCATTCCCAGCTAGGTGGCCACCTCTGAGCTTCTCCCATAAAGACTCAGGAGCAGCCCCTGACCCCGAGGGACTCTCTAGGTCAACCCCTTCATTTTTCAAAGAAACAAAAACTTAAAGTCCTATAGCTAATTACCTATGGGATATAATAGTTACCTATGGATACCTAATGTCTGAGTCAGAGTAGAAGCCTCTTGACCCTAAATCTGGTTTTTGCCTTATAGCACTCTCAAGTGTTTGTAAGGCGCTGTTCCACCAGTCACCATGCTTGGTGGTATTAATCATTCATTCCCTGCCTTCAAGAGGTGCCTGCAGAGAAGATACCGCAGTGTCCTCCGGAGCAGGGAGTGTGTCTCAGCCACTTGTCCATCCTCAATGCCTGGAAGCTTCCCCTTCCCAGTTTCTAAGGAGAGTCACTAACACTTTATTTGCTTTAATTCAACAACACAATGTTGATCAAAAAACTACCTCTGCCTACCTACTAACCTCAGTTGATTTAGCATCTACTTAACTTACTGAGAACAAGTGGTAAGCACTGTCTGTACATGGTAGGCAGAGGGGAGAAGGCACTGTGCCATTCCTCAAGGACCCCAGCCTAGGAGGCAGGGCTGTCCACATCGCATTTCAGTGCTGCTAAGTGTCACGGGGTTGTGGCAGGCATCTGCCTAGGGTACAGTGGAGACCTCCACAGAGGGAGGAATCAGTTCTCCCTGCAAGAGGCAAGGAAGGCTTCACTGATGAAGCCCACTATTAGAAGATGGAGTAGCTGTTTGCTAGGCTGAAGGCTGTGATGAGGAAGGAAAGGGACTCCCAGCAGGGGGAGACAACAGGAGCAGTAAGCATGCAGACCTGGAAAAGCCTAGTAACTGAGGGAACAGCGTGAAGCAGTGTGGGCAAATCTGTAGGCTGTGTGGACTTGTCACATACTCTAGGACCAGGCTCTTCCACGAGCAACACAGAAAAGCCCCAGAAGCTGCCAGGCTGTGTTGTAACACACTACAGCAAACAACAGGCCCTGTAGATACAGCTGCAGGCTTCCCCTCCTCCCCCTAGGCCGGTGTCTGTGGGGAACACTCAGTTCCCCAGCTCTGATGATGGCAGCCTGACTATTTCTACCCACCCACTCCCCCAGAAAACCCACCCTGGCCACCCCACTTGCCCTCTGCATTTGGAAATGTGGCTGCCCCTCTGAACTCAAGGGCCCCAATCTTACTTAGAAAGGCCCTGTGCCTGGTTTAATGTTCTGCTGTTATCTTGACATTCTTAGTAATTTTTCAACAAGGCGTCCTGCATTTTCATTTTGCTCTGATCCTGAAAATTATGTGGCCAATCCTTCCTGTCCCTTAGTACCCCCGGGCATGGCTCAAACCATCTCTTGTTTTTAGAGCACTTGGTATTCATATGCCTGTGTCACTTGATTCTCATATTGGTAATGTGGGATGAGCCTTCAGTGCTTTTATTCATTTATTAATTGAGAAAGATGAAGTTCAATAATCCTCAGGTGACCCAGTTAGGAAGTGACAGGGTTTGTACTTGAACTTGATCAACCCACCCAAACCCTATTTCACCTACTGTGGAGCTACCTCCAGTACAGCAAGTAATTACAATAATAATATGAAAATGAAATTATGAAAACAATTCCATTAATGACATCATCAAAAAGAATAATATATTTTGGAATGCATTTAACAAAAGAAGTGGAAAACGTACACTTTGAAAATTATGAAACATTGGAAAAAATTAAAAAGTCTAACTACTTGGAAAAGTATCCATGTTTATGCATTGTCTTATTGTTTGGATTTTTTTGACAGTCCTAGGCCTTGCACTTGCTAGGCAGGTGCTCTTACAACTTAAGCCATGCCCCCAGCCCTTTTTTGCTTTAGATGGTGATACTCTCCAAATTGACCTTCAGAATCAATGCAATTCCCACCACAAGTTTGGATGACTTCTTTATCAAAATTGAGAAGCTGATATTTAAATTCATATGCATTTCAAGAGACTAACCTTAAAAAAAAACTGAAAACAATCTTTAAAAAAGAGAAAAAAAAGTAGAAGGATGTGTTAGTCAGTGTTCTGAAACTATAACAAACACCTGAGATGATCAACTTATAAAGAGAAAAGGTTTATTTTGGTTCACGGTTTTAGAGATCGCAGTGCATGACCAGTTGACTCTATTGTCTTGGGCCTATTATGGTGCGTAGTGGTGGGAAAGACCTGTTTTCCCAGCTGCTTGAGAGGTTGAGGCAGGAGAAATGCAAGTTCAAGGCTAACCTGAGCAATTTAGCAAGATCTTGTTTCAAAATAAAATTTAAAAAAAGGACATGCAATGTAGCTTAGTGTAGAGCACTAGCCTAGCATGCACAAAACCCTGGGTTCAATCCCCAGTAACACACACACAGACACACACACACACACACACACACACACACACACACACATGCACTAGACTAAAATAGAAGCTACAATATGGCTGAGCTTTGAAAACATGCTAAGTGAATTAAGCCAGTCACAAAAGATTACATTTTACATGGTAGATGTGTATGAAATGTCCAATAAGTAGACTAGTGATTGCTTAGGACTCAGGATGTAGGTGAAGGTAGACAGGAATAGAGGTATAGAGAAATATATATATATATATATATATATATATATATAGAGAGTATAGAGAAATGATACTGAATTTTTTTTTTTTTGGCAGCACTGGGTTTGAACTCGGAACCTCACACTTGCTAGGCAGGTGCTCTATCACTGGAGCCACTTCACCAGCCCTTTTTTGTGTTGGGTTTTTTCAAGACAGGGTCTTGAAAACTATTTGCCCAGGCTGTCTTCAAACCTCAATCCTTCTGATCTCTGCCTCCTAAGTGGCTAGGATTATAGGCGTAAGTCACTGGTGCCCAGCCTGAATTACTTTTTGAAGTGATAAAAATGTTATAAGGTTAAATGTAGTGATGGTTGCACATATCTAAAAACCATTGACGTATGTATTTTATGTGGGTAAATTGTGTAACACATGAATTATACTTCAATAAAGCCATTACAAATATAAAAGAACAAGCAGCCAGTCATGGGCCATACATTGCTTATCCCTGGTTTGAAGCAATAATTATTGGATTTATTTGCTCAGATTCTGTAATTTGGACAACTCAACAAGGATAGCAACAGGGACTCACCATGGACTCTGATCTATGTGGCATCAGTTGGGCACTTGATCACTTCTTAGATGTCCTTAGTCACATGAGGGCAAGTGGAACCTCCGTTGTGACAGTGACCACTGTCCTCAGTTGTTTTCTCTCTGCTTGAGGCTGGGCTGGATTTCCTCACAGAATGATTTCAGGGAAATTGGACATCTGAACATGGTGACTGGTACCTCTCACGGGGCAAACATGGAAGGTTCCAGGCCTTCTTGAGATGCCCACAGCTAACACAGCATCACTTCCAGCACATCCTGTTGGGTTAAGCAAGTCACAACCCAGGTTGGGTGCAGAGAAGGAAGCTAACAATGGTGTGAATGAATACTCAGATATATGGTTTACTAGGGGCCACCATAGTAACCATCTAGCTCTGTCCAGCCCTGTCACCTAATGATGCACTTGTTGTCACAAATTACATTCGCTGTCCCTTAAAGATCCCTGAAGTCTCACTCCATTACTGTACCAGGACTGTGACTGAAATCCTCAACCTCCTCATCTAAATCAGGTCCAAGTACAATCAGACCTTCTCAAGTGATGCTCTTTTACTTTGAAGACTCAGGTTATCAGCTTACCACACATGACAGCAAGGCTGAGAAAGGAAAGTTGCAGCCAACACTCCCTTTAAAAAGAAAGAAATGGCAGTCACCTAGCAGCTGGTAACCCGCAGTGATTCTGAAATCCAGTTGGGCACCTGTCACCAATTCCTTACATAGGTCCCACTTAGGGTAGTTAGACTTTTTACATGGCAGCTGGCTTTCCCTAGAACCAAATTGGAGAAGTTGCCTTCTGAAGGTTCAAGGAAGCTTGGGCACATCAGGCCGGCAGAGTGGCTCAAGTGGTAGAGCACCTGCCTAACAAGGAAGTGTGAAGCCCTGAGTTCAAATCCCAGTACCACCAAATAAATAAATAAATAAAAAGACCAGGCACAGCACTTTCAGTATATTCTACTGGTTAAAGCAGGTCACAGGGGCAGGTCACAGGGGCAGCTCAAGATCAAGGGCATGAATACCCATAGCTACAGTTCATTTGGGGCCATCAAGGAATAGTATACCACAGAGTGGTTTATCACAGTCTCTAACATTGGCAGGCCCTAATTTCCAATTCTGTACCTGTAATCCAGGATGTTTCTAGAAGCACAGCACAGCCTCCTTGTCTCCACTATAGCTCCTTCTGATTGACAAATGC